CCACTTTGGGTCACAATCCCAGCAGCTGAATGCAATAATTGGGAGAGCGGTACAGCAGGGGTCATGGCCTGACCGGGCGATCCCATTATTCCCGAATCTGTCTCGGAAATTACGTAGCCAGGCCTGTCCCAGGCCAGCCAAGTCGTCCTGCTGGTAAAAATTAGTATGGATGAGAAGAACAACTTCGTCCGACATCAAATCTGTTCAATCGAAGGTGTCATCAGATGGGATATGGCCATTGGATGAGACAAGTCCGCTTAATTGTTGGCAGACCGCCAACGTCTCGCAAATCAAAAAGGGAATAAATTGAGTGAGTCACGCATCCCAAAAATATCCAATTCTTGTCAGCGCAATGAGCATCCATATCCCAATTGGCCCCGATCATCCACGACGGAAAGCCATAAAAGCGGCGAGGGATGCCCACCTAAACGGGAATAGCGGTTTTTAACTTTAGACCTCGGGACTTTTGGAGCTGGCAACTCTTACAAGCCGCGAAAGGTGGAGAAGCAGCGAATCGCATGGAAAGGCTTCAAAAACTCGTCGGTCGGCGGAGGGATAATGGACTGGAGCTGGCATACTGAGCCCTCATAATAATTTTCTGGCCTTCCTGAGAAACTTCTCCTACATTGCCAGGCAATTTTCATCGGCCTCGTGCCTCGTCACCGACTATGTCTTCTACTGCGAATCGGCGCCTTCAAGCTGTAAGCCAGCAACTGGCTGAGGGTATCCCGGACCCCGGCACCTTTGAGAACATCCCTCGAATCCGTGAAATTGCTCCAGACTCCGTGGGCCCGTAAGTTTTCCCGTGCAGGTCAATATTCATTGGAGCTTGCATTCTGCTGCGGTGTTTCCAGCACGGCCGCTCAACCTGCCGGAAGCCCACGCTCATTCATATATATTGGATTTTAGGAGGGTCCAGGGGAAGGTTGTAATTGTCACTGGTAGGTGGCCGCAACTCTTTCTCACCCAGGTATACCAAAGTGACGGAAAACCCATGGCGAGAGATTAACATATTGTTTCCTCATCCGCAGGAGCAAATTCCCCCCTCGGCATCGGTCGAGCCAGCGCCCATCAATTCGCCCGCAATGGCGCAAAGGCAGTCTTCCTCTGCGACTTCTCTGATTCATACCTTGCCGTCCACAAAAGGGAACTCGAATCGCTCTACCCGTTCGTGGACATCCATACTCGGCAATTTGATGCCGGAGATGAGGAGAAAGTGAAAGCTGTGGTCGACGAAGCCATCGAAAAATACGGCCGGTTGGACATTATGTTCGCGAATGCAGGAATATCTGGACCACACAATCAATTTACGGAAATTACGGGAGACGAATTCATGCAGGTCATGGACACGAATGCCAAAGGGTAAGCATAAAAATAATAGAAGGAGCACCAAAAAAGACTCAATCTATGTAGACTGACACAAAATACACATCCACAGGCCCCTTTTCTCGCCGCCAAATACGCT